TTTATTTTTTTTTTTTAAAGACATCTTTCATTCCCATGAGAGAAATAATTTATTGTGCTGAAAGTGCTGATCCTGCACAGCCCAAATTTATAACTAAATGCTCTGTGCTGTGTGAAGCATGGAAAGTGGCAGTGCTAGACAAGTCTGATAGGAAAGCAGCTGAGATGGGTCAGTTTTTGAAAGAAACTTTATTTTGTGCATTTTTTTCCTGATCTTTTGAACCAGACTTGTCAATGTATAATCTTAAAAATCAAATTTTGGTCTCTGCTTTGCAACCTGCTCTGGAGACAGTAGGAGTGTTTCCTCACTGAACATGTTTTGTGGAAAATGCCTTGAATTTTGTTCACTGTATCATCTTCTTTTCCCTTTTCATGTTCAGCCCCCTGCCCTCTACTGTTTTTTAGTGCCTTGGGAACTATATAGAATCATTGCTCTCCTGAGTGAGGGTTTTTCTGGAGAGAGGTCTTAAATATCCCAGTGTTCCTATTATTGGTATCAATTAAAAAGATTGACATATTCTTCAAGTTTTGAGGAGCAAATAGGCATGGTGGAAAAAATATCCTGTTGATCACAAAGATTTTAAACCTTGACTGGGATCTTAAATGGGGTTTTCCAGGTTGATGATAAAAATGTTCCAGCTGTCTGTAAATATGTAACTTAACAGATGCATTATATCTGCTTCCAGTACAAGGGCTTGCATGGCTTGAGTTCTTCTGTAGAGATAACCAGCCCTTAATATATACATCTCCTATTTCTGTGAATAAAACACATCAGTGGTAATAGATGCTTTGTTTCTTTGCATTTAGGATGTTCTTTTTGTGCATATGGTAACTCCTGACAACAGTTTTGGTAATAATGTGTTGCAAGTGGGAGTAGCTTCAGCTGGAGGTAGCTGTGAGGCTCTCCTGGACCTCTGGTGTCACTCCAGAGTAGGCACAAGCATTCTGGCACAGAGGACCCTGAAGTCCCAGAGATGGACTTATACTAAAGGTAGCCAGAACATTTGCCAAAAACAATAAAAAATGGGCTAAGAAAAAGCAGGGTTGGTGGTGGGGATCCTGGCAAGCAGGAGTGGCGAATAAAATGCAGGCAGCAAAGGGGGAAACAACCTCAGGTGAAGGTATTTGTAAGGGGGTTGTGGAGGGATTGGTGACTATAAAATTAGAGATTTGTGGATGATACACGCTGGTCCTGCATAAATTACAAGGGCATGACCATTGGACTGCACAGCCTGATCCCTGGGAAATGTGGATCCTTTTATTAATAGAGTTGAATATTTCAGTGCCAGGAGTGCACACAGCTCTGGAGAGGACAGGCAAGGCACAGAGTGCAAATTATTTAGCATGCAGTTGTGTTGCTGTGGGGAAAAAGTGCAATCCTGAGGGAATGGCAAGAGTGTGTACACCAGCACAGTGCCAGCAGCACAAAACTCCAGCACTGCTGAAGCAGTGAGAGGGTGGAAAAGGAGCACAAGTTCTCCAGAGGTGTCCAGCTGAGCGACACAGAGACCTCCTAAAGGAATGACCAGAAAAAATCCCAACCCAAACCTGAGTATTAAAGAGCTTCTTAATATTGTGGAAATAGGCACGACAAGAACAAGAGGCTGGCAAAGGAAAAGCAGCTGAATTAAATGAAGTTGCACTTTTTCAGCCAAGAGGATGATTAATCATTGGAACGAGTTCTCAAAATAAGGTATTTTCCCAGACACTGTCTGGTCAAATGTGATTAAGTGGGTTTGGTGAAGAAGTAACAGGATAAAATGTCTGTGACACACAGGAGGGCAGCCGAGCTGATGTCATTTTCCTTTACAGCCTTAGCTCAGAAACCCCATGAAGCCTTTCTAAAGGTGGCATAGTGGATTTCAGTTTGCTGAAACTGTAGAAGGATCATCACCCTGAACTGAGGAAATACCCAGCTTGGCTTTTGGATTTTACCAGGAATTAATAATTAGCATTTATGCCATTCTTTCTATGAATACATTTTCGTGCTTGCAGGAAGGCACAGCAAACCTAAAGCCTAAAACAAGAGCAGAGGTGAGGCACAGCCAAGTGAATGAGCAGCAGACCTGGAAAAAGACCCAGTGTCTTTTGGGTTCCCAGCTGAGACAGACTTGTTTTCTTGGGAGGACTCAGCTCTCTGAAATCCAGCATGTTCTCCAGTCCATCTAATTTCTTAACTCTGGAAATCCAAACACGACCAAATATAAATTAAGCCTAGAATATCACAAAACAGTGTTCTGGTGAAAATCATGAGGTATACTAAGAAATGATATATTTTTTAATATTTATATATTTTACTATCTATATTTTTAATATACACAGTTAGGCTCAAATTTACCCTATGATTTCTATGTAAATAGCAGGCAACCCTTCTCTGAGGTGGATTTTTCTCTTCATTTAGGAAGTGCTGTGTTCAGCACTGGCAACACTGACTTAATTAAACTCACATAAGGGGAACTTATTACAGTTTTGACAGCACTCCTATTTGTTGATATCACTTAGAGGTGGGAACAGCAAACATGTTAAGTCTTCTGTTTCCCATGCTGTCAATCCCAAATGTCTACCATTCACTTGAAGTGATTCACTTACAAATAAAAGGTTAGTGCTTAACCCTTGATTTTTGGATTGGGACTAAAAAATGAAGAAAATCTGTTGGTGACAGCTAAGGTAGCTATTTCTACAGTATTTATGTGACCTTACAACTGCATTTCTTCTGTACAGAAGGAGCCTGAGTGGCAGGGCCTTCTGAGGCTTCAAGTTTTGATTTTACATTCTTGGCATATATGCCATTTATCTGGTCCCACATAGTACCAGTATATACTACCATATAGTACCAGGAAAATAAGCATATAGATGCTAGGCAAGATTCCTTGGGACATGGAAAAATTAGGACAACCTGCCACGAAATTCAGATTGCTGATTTTAAATGGTAATGATTTAAGGTGTATGGAATGGTGAAAATGTGTGTTTAAAGTCCTTTGTAGGAGGCTTTTTAAATTTTATATTTTTTGGAGTGATTGATTTGGTTCCTTCCCTTGTTGGCTCCTGCTGA